GTATATGGGTGTGTGTGGTCATATGGTAAGCACGCACACAGTATTAACTCACACAGGAATGCAAGTAAATACGTTATCCTCCGACACACCTCTCATCTGTGCAGAACTGCGCTGAACACGTTCCCAACCGGAAGTACAGATACCGAGGTGCATCATGGGTAACGTAGTATAAACAGTTACAATGAACAAGCGGACTTTTAACATTGCTAGTTTCCATCTATTCAATTCAATTCAGTTTTATTTATATTTTTATATAGTGCCAAATCACAACAACAATTGTCTCTAGGATGTTTTATATTGTGAGGTAAAGACCCTAAAAACAGGGAAAATCCCAACAATCATATGAGCCTCTTTGAACAGATACTATTTTCTGACTGATGCATTTCTACAAAACTAAACCACGCAGCTCTGCTATCACTTCAGACATGAATGAAGACAGAAAACCAAACAGCAGTGATGCTTGGATGGTCACTGAAGTTGTGCTAGGTGGCATATAACTAGTGGCTAGCTTCAGAGTGAAGATAACGTTTATGTGAGGGTCCCCAAAGAGAACCTCACTGATGATCCATTCACAGCACGAGCTGAGTCATAAATAGTTTGGATTGCTTGCTTGAAAAATTCCTGATCCTCCACACTGATGTCTCAGTTAGCCTCCAAGTAGACGTCATTGTCTGTTTGGCGTCTGAGAGGGCAGTAGTTTTATCATAAGGTTTTCAAAACTGAAAACATGCAACACACATCAATATTGCTAATAAAAAGACGCATACGATGATCAGAAAGTATTACAACATGTCATCATCTGCCTTAGTTATCGGAGGAGGAGCTTGGACTCTGAAGCAGCGTTGGTACATCATCACTGAGGCTACGTTCACTCTGCAGGTCTTAATGATCAATTCCGATTTTTTGATCAAATCCGATTTTTCTGTCTGCTCGTTCACACTACAATTAAAATGCGACAGCAAACGTGCAAAAGAAGACTTCACACACAACGCGCTCTGTTTAGACCCAGACCAAACAGTGTTGTTTGACTGTTCTAGACTTTACGTTTCCCAATTTTGCTTAAAGTTGTAAAGTTTGTTATCTACATTTGGTCTAATAATGATCCTTATTGCTGTTTTAGAGGAGCTTCAAAGGATAGCTGCAGATTTCTGTCAGAATCTGCAGATTATACAGAACAAATAAAATGTTCACGTTTCTCCAACGTTGTCTTCCCAACAGTTTCACTGACATCTACACGGGATGGCCAGGAAGCGTTTGCGATGTCTTCTCCGGCGCTGATAATCGGCGTCTGTCTCGTGTCAGTGACGTAAAAGAAGGATTTAATGCGACATGGCCGTTCAAACAGCAGTCGCTTTCTGAAACATCACATATATGTATCGGATTCAGAACCACATACGAAAGTGACCCAGATCTGATTTGAAAATATTGGATTTGTGCCGTTCACACTGTCACACCATGATCGGATAGATGGTCGCAGAGGGTCAGAAAAGTCGGATTTGGTGCGCTTTTGCCTGCAGTGTGAACGTAGCCTTAATAAGTGGACTGAAAATTTGTGGCCTAAGCCTGAAAACGGGGTCTGTGCCCGGTAAATGAAAGAGTCAGATGAAGCGCTATGGTGGGGATGTATGTATTTGAACTTGTATATAAAATTTGACCATGTGTGGATTAGAGAAAATCCAAAATAAATTCAAACTAGTGGACAATAAATAGATGAATAGAAACCAGTGAAAACCCCCCAAAATCTAAAAAAACAAAAAAGCTGAATGAAATAATATTAAGACCAGTATGTAATAAAACATGCAGGAATTCTAAGACACTACTATCTACTGTGCTGTTTTTTCATCCTCATTTTAATAATAAAAAGTGAAACGTCATCAGGATTGTTGCACTGACTCGTGCTACGTTCACAGACATCTCTGTGAACACTAAACCAGACAGACTCCGTTTTCAAAACATTTTTTTCTTTTGTATCCTCGACAGGTTTTCTGGAAAATCCTCAGTACAAAGTTTATTATCCTTAGAATAACAATTTCTGGGAAAATGAAAACATAAGCATCTATTAACACACAGTAAAATTTGGTTATGAGCCTGTAGTGTTGCTCTGTGATGCTTGCCAAGGGTCTTCCTTTGCCTGTAATTACTGGATCAAATTCACGTCACACATTAACATGAAGCAGGCAGCCAAATATGTTTTATTCCAACACTGAGAATTTATATCCTGAACTATGTTTTGTCCTTATATCACACTGAGATGCAGTTTTAGCCAAGCTTGGCCAGCAGATGAATATGTTTGCTTGACCTAACTGAGTTGCTGGAGTGAAGGCTTCAGCACACACACAAGTCGTATTCTTGCTTCGTAGGCAGACTTGTAGGGATGTGGTCAGTGTTCTGGACAGGAGAGATTTAGTCGCTCGGGGTGTGTTTCGTCCCCGTCCCTGATTGTGTCCTCAAACTCCTCTCCACCGGTGTGAGGATAATTACCGGGTCCGCTCGCTGCGAGGGACTCCTCCTCTTTTCCCTCTTTTTATGTGCACCCATTTCTAATTATGCACTGCAAGGGAAGCTAAGGTCTGTTTTTCATAATTCATGTTTTGCTTACAAAGTGTAAAGACTGCTGTTCGCCAGACCTCTCACTCACTCCTCCACCCACCAAGTCCTTGTTAAATTTTTGTGTTGGTGCTGAGTTTAAACTAATATTTTTTTAAAGTGGAAACTCATCCTACCGTTATGATTAGCGCAAGTTCCTGCTGCTCCAGCCATGAGAAAACTGAACACATTTGCTCCAGCAGAGTAAGGAAAAGCTGCTCATGGACACAATTTTTCCCCTTTTTTAGAATTATAGTTTCAGGAAGGCTGCCAACTCCTACCACGCTCAGCTTTGGCACAGATGCTCATTTAAAGGAAATAAAGTTTTTCAAAATGATCTTTTTTTTTTAGTGCTGCAGTTCTGAGAAAGTGGCTGGATGTAACAGTGCTTTTGAAATAATCACATATAAAAGGCACAGACACAAAGAGCTCGCACACAAACTCAGTGACAGTTTGCTGTATGAAATCATACATATGCACACATCTATGTAGCACTGTTATACATGTTTGGACGATATAATATCATATTATAATTCTCAGAAGTTCTTTTCTATTGGATACTACACTATTCTGAGAAACTGGGATCACTGCATCTCTCAAAGCTTTGACTTTAAAGACAGCTCAGGGGCTGTAGGGTCAGCAGCTAGCAGCTAGCTAGCAAAATTCAATTCAGTCTTATTATTGGCAAATTTGCTCATTTCCTTTAATAACAGTAATTTGAGCAGTTAGTTGAACAATCATGATAATATCAATAAGCCAGTCATTATATCCTGAATTTTTATAGGCTTTCCTCTTTATGCTAAAACTATATTTGCTTTAAGGGTGTACGACAGTAGTTTCATGCTACATGCTACTACACAATCTTTTGCAATAACCAAAGGTTCAGTAACTGCCTGACAGAAAACCACTCATACTAGAACAGAATAATCCTGCAGCTGATCCAACCGTTCTGTCAGTCAGGACCAGGAGAGCAAGTGCCAGAGACTGCAGTTCGTCAGATGAATGCTTTGGGTGAGCCTTAAAAACTCAAAACTTCTGTTTAAATGTTATTTTGGTATAAAGTTACGTATAATCCAGGGTTTGGCCTCTGACAGGTAGAGGCCAAACCCTTTTTTCAGCATTTAGCTGCGTTCCAAACGTATTTGAGCAGTTTTGCTGGTGACTGAATGATGTTTTAAGCCTGTTGTCCAATTAGCATCCATTTTGGAGTGAATTACTCATTTACTACCATAATGGTGGTTAAGTGTTTGTGAGCTTAATTGTATCTTGATTCTAGTTATTGGACACATGTACAGACGGACAGATGTGGAAACTGCAAGAACCTCTGCGCTGGTTTTAGCAGCTGAGTCATGTTGCTGCTAGCTGATGAATTATTAGCACTCTTTACAAGCTGGCAGTGGAAATCTTGCATGGACTCACGTGTTGTGTTTGTAAAGGAAAAAGATGACAGCTGCAGCTTTGCTTTGTTTCATTAAATCACTGTGTTATTACTGGCAGTCCTGCTGTCATATTCCCAGCGTCTTGGACCCAGAGCTTTGAGGATTTGTGAGTTCCCCTGCCTCTGCCCTCCTTGTGCTGAGTTAATTTATTTCCCATGTTAAGTTGCATCTTACTTCCTGTTTTATTTTAGTAGCTGTTTTTCCTGTGTCCTGTGTTGAGTTTAACTTCCCTCATGTCATTATTTTAATTATCTTCAGCTGTGTTCCCCACCTGTTTCCCATTTGCTCATTATCTCTTGTCTATGTTGTCCTTGTTGTGTCGTCCATGTAGCCGCGTGTCTCCTTGTGCTTCCATGTTCTCTGTACTTCCTGAATTTGTATTCCTATTGACATCTGATCTTCAGATTCCCTGGCTTTGGTCCTGAAATGTTTTGGGATTTTCGGACGTCATGTAATTCCTGCACTAACAGCATTAAATGCTTTGAGCTTAATAATTCCCATTTCCTGCATTTGGGTCTGCTGAAATGAATCAACAGTCCACACAGCAGACAGCTGTCGTGGTTGCCTGTGATAGTTCAGCTTTAGCTTTCACATTTCCAAATATTCAGGTTCTATTTCCTAACACCTGCTACGCGGCTTTCAAACATGCTTTACTAGTGTTCTTGTAGTCTGGACTATTCAGCAGTTTTGAAAAATATAAACAACTCAAAGTGGAATCAGCACAGGACTGGAGTTTCATTCTAAACAGGGAGCTTTGAGTCTTTCACACAGCTCTGTCTGTTGCTGCAATCGGTGAATAAAGGCAAAAATACTCCCCAAATATTTTGAATCTGTACTTTCGACTGAGTCTTGGGTCAACCCAACAAGAAATTTCACCTGTGCTGAATTTGTGGCATATGCCTTTCAGGATCATCAAAGAAACATGGATACTTGTTTTTTCAATTCAAATCACTATTATTTATATAGCAGCCAGTTCACAACATGATATCAAGATGCTTGATATTGTAAGGTAAAAGAAAGACAAGAGAGAAACCCAATGATGTGATGATTCCCTATGACCAAGTACTTGGTGACGGTGGGAAGGAAGAATTCCCTTTAATAGGAAAAGACCTCTGGCAGAACCAGCATCAGTGAGGGTCAGCTCTGAGTGTGATTGGTTGGAGGGGCGAGGGGAAGAAGGAAAACAGCGGTATCGTTCAGTGAAAACTGAAACTACCCTTAGCTTGTGTAGCATGTTAGCGATGTTGACTGCGGCATGTTGATCCAAACTGCTAAATAAGTAAATGTCGGGGTATCTGACATGCTTCAACTTAAAATAAATATAAATATTTATTGATGGTCTGTTTTACAGTTCGCTCGTAAAAGTCAAAAAATGAAAAGAAATCTTCAAAATAAAAAAATAGAAATAATAAAAATGCCAAATGCCCATCCAACCTCACAGCGGCTTGATTTAACTGCCACTCCACTCATCACTGCATCACAAACGCCTCTGACCCCTCACAGCACGCCATCTCTGAATGAATACGATATGTACACATGTAGAAAACTCGCACTCGGAGGTACAAACTCTCTTCCAACAGACAAGTCTTATTATCGATAGTGTTTATATTTCTCACAAAACCGAGGACAACAGTGACGCGTACAAGAATGTGCAGAAGCAGCACAACATGAAGAGCTCAGTGAGGTTTGTTACAGCAGCCTGGGACAGATCACCGTATTCCACAAGCAGCAGCGACAGCTCTCCCCCATTCACAGCATATATATTTCCATCTCGCTCTCACACACACACACACACACTCACACACACCTTTACAGTTTAACCCCCAAAATTTCATTGTTATTTTCATTGTTTATTGCCAGCTGTTTATTGGTAAAAACTATATTTTAAAACAGTTCTTTGAGCTTTTGTCCAAAGTGGAGGAAAAGGAAAAGGAAAAGGAATGGGCATGCACCGAGACGGGTCTCAGTAACCTGGTGGATGTTAATGAAATCGATCGCATCATTTGGTGAGGTTTAGTATCATGAACTGATCTGCATCGGGCCGCCAGTGCATTAAACTAAAAGTCGAGACTTTGAACAACAGCTTTTTAGCCAAGTTTAAATGAAGACGATTCAAAAGAGTTGAGATCAAAAACAAGAATTATTTGCCTCTCGCCTTTTTCTTTTAAATTAAAGTGCAGCCGAATGGGCTTTACTGCACGTTCACACAAACACAAAGAGGAACAAGCCAGAACTCACACACATACATAAATGCGCACAAGGAGTCGAGTTAATTCAGTCATACTGCTTTGTTCTGATGCAAATCACTCACGTGTGACCGACTTTTAGAAACAGCAGTTAAGATAAGTGGACCGTAAGGCACGTGGCAGTCATAGGATATTGTAACCTGTGTTTAATCTCAGATTTCCAAAACGAAAGAAAGAAAGAAAGAAAGAAAGAAAGAAAGAAAGAAAGAAAGAAAGAAAGAAAGAAAGAAAGAAAGAAAACGATTTTTTACAATCCTTCTAACAGTGACTCTTGTACAATATAACATAAATACTGTGCTGGAAAAAACAATATTCCAAATTTTTTTTGACCAGTTTCAGTCTCTCTCTGTAAACATTGAAAAATGCAAATCAAGTCTCCTCAGTTCTCAACAAGACAACATCAAAATAACAACAAATGTTCGGTGTGTAAGGCTCAGCCACCTCACTAATCAAACAGTCTCTAAAGGAAACCTTTTCAGTTTGCTTCCTTTTGTTTTCTAATCCGTTAAATGTTCCAAGGAGTGAACCGTGCTTAATTGTAGATCCACAAGGAGCAGAGGTGAGCAGGGGGGAGCTAAGGGATGGGGCCAGGGAGGGCAGGGGAGAGGGGGCTGTGAAGAAGGGCTCCATCTATCAGAAGAGGCTGGTCAGCGTGGTCTGTGATGGGCTCCGGCACTCGTGGACATCCATGCTACCCGGCACGGAGGTGAGCACAGAGGTGACAGTGGGCATGGTGGGGTTGGTCAAGTCCGTAAGGGTGGTGGGTGTGCTGGAGGGACTCATGGAGGCGTTGGAGATCTCAGAGGCCGGGCCTGACGGTGTACCACCCTGCAGCGTGGAGCCGTCGGACGCCTTGTCTACCCCGGTGCTCTCCTGCCGCAGCAGGTTCCTCCTGAATTTGGCCCGAGCGTTTTGGAACCACACCTGCAGATGGATGATCTGTTAGTACACTTCTAAATACCAAAACAAACCCACGTGTGTTTGATATCATAAAGAAGTAACATTCATGCAGAAAAACATTATTATTACATTATTACAGGACTTTCAGTTCAACCTATTTGGTCGTTCCTGAGTGTGCAGATGGTTTTGCTTTCTTGGGTCCAGGTTTTGAAATATAAACATTTTTTTATTTGGAGCCATTTCCTTCAGTAAAATAATTCCACATATATTTGTTTTGGTGCTGAAATGTAATTTTCAGTGGTGTGAGCACTTCCAGTATATTGGGCTAAAAGTCTGCACACCACTAAAGATAGATTTCAATATGTTCCTCTGCCCTTTCTACACTGTTCGATTAACCGGGAACTCCTGTTTCCAACATGTTCAACACACTACTTTTATGCATTATGTTTGCTGTTGGTCATACAGTTTTCTGCAGACTGTAGTCTGAAGTGTTCTGCTACATAAATGCCAGCCCGCTCCTTTAACAGTCTGTATGTAAACTGGATTTCTAACAAAATGTAATGCGTCACTGTGAACACACTGAACATGATTTCTTCTCTCAGTCTTCTCACTTCCTACAGCAGGTAATACAGTTCAGGCTCTTCAGCTGCCTCACCACACAGCACCGACACTAATAAAAAGAGGACGTGATACTCATGCTGATGGATTACCTACTGTATCCCAGGCAGGTCTCGAAGCTAATTTTGATGCTCTAGTAAAATAAAGGAGACCCATACCTGCCTGAAAGCTGGGAAAAGCCCTCTCAGGGGTATCAGCCTCTTGTGTTGGAAACTGGCTAGTTGTAAGGTATCAGCTGAGAGGTAACTAACACATGTTCATGTTTCCAGAACGCACAGTTGGAAACGGCAAAAGGGTCAATCACAAGACCGACACAGACAAATAATAATTCATTACATAATTGTTTGCTTACTTGACTTTAACAGCTAAAGCACCAAACGTGTTTCACGACAGTTGGTGATGAAAACCAGAGAAAGGAGTTTAAATATCTGAAACCTAAGTAAGTATGTAAGTATGAAAATTTTAACTCAGCTTTAACTGAACGCATTTCACAATTTTTCTTTGACTAAGACCAAAACTTCTCCGCACCTAAACCAGCCTGTGACAAATGTAGAAACTGTCACAGTCAAGCAACAGACGTGTATCTCTTGGGGAATAAGTATATTTCAAAAATGTAAATATATCAAAATATAACGCGGCTTGTGATGTCACTGAATCTCAAGAATACCCATATTATCTCCATTATCTAGCGAGCATCTCTTTGTGTCTCTTTAAAGTCTGTTTGCAGATGTTCTGACTGGAGACAAAGATAAAAGAACACTTGGAAACACTAAGCCTGAGCGCTCGTCCTCTGTGTGTAAAAGCTATAAAAGCCTTTACTTTTCATGGCTGTTCACACAAAAGAAATTAAGCCATTTCTTTTATTATGCTTGCACATGAAAATAGAGAGCAATGTCCTCCTGCTTTCATTGACCCTGGCAAAAAGCAACACGGGTCCTATTTACAGTGTTTGCAGAAAGAAATGCAGTTATGATTTTACACATTTGCAATAAGATTAACGATATCCTTATTTTTTTATCACAACCTTCTTTTTTTGCTCTGGGATTTTCATTTATTTGTCATGTTTTTGAATATAAGATTTCCTCTCTTTTTCCAGTAATAAAAGTGTGTTCTGTGATTTGCAGAGCGAACGAGGCAGCAGCCGAGCTGAGTGTTGGGAAGTGTTAGTGATGGAGTCATGATGGAGCCATGGGAATCGGGCGGCTAGAGAGTCGCTTCAGCTGAAGTAACAGACATGAAAACTCGAACGCATCAAAGCAAAACGACTGCTTTGTTTTCTGTGAGCGTTAATTAAAGCAGCGGGATGTTTTTTTTCTTCCTTCTCAGTAAAATTTTGATTTAGAAACCTTTTTGTCTTATTTTTCTTCTTTTCAGTACCCCAGATAATTTGCTGTCGTCTTTTGTGGAAATCAAATGCTCTGTTGTGTTGTCGCATTCTTTGCATGTATTACAGAGCTTTTTGCTTTTCATCCCTCACTCGTCACCACAACATCACATCATCCACTGAGTTATATTACGTTTCATTTTTTTTAACATTTCTCTTTGATTTCCAGGTAATTTTGGTTTCCAGCATGAACAGAAATATTAAGTCTGTTTTTCCTGAAGGCAATTAGAAATTCTGCTTCTGCTGTTATGAAAACGAGAAAAGAAAACAGAAACAAAGTAAGGGAATCCAATTCTGATTTTGTTTTACTTGTTTCCTAAAAGTCTTCCAAGAACTTGAGATGAAAAACAGCAAAATCATAAAATAAAGCAGCTGATTTGGCTCCTAACTGTAAAACACCACTTCATTTATATTACCACTGGTTATCACTGGAAATGTCGCCCTGTTGGCTTGTGCGAGGTACTTTTAGTAACAGAAAAGTGAACTGTGGTCGAGAAGTGAGAGGCTGCTGGCGCTACCTGTAAGACCCGCTTGGTGAGGCCAGTTTTCTGGGCAAGCTGCTTGAGGTCCTTGGCGTCTGGGTTGTGGTTGATGGCAAAGTAGGACTTCATGGTCCTCAGCTGGTGATGCTTGAAGGACGTCCGCATGCGCTTGGTCTTCTGACTGGAGCTGTACTGGGAGTCCCTGTCCATGGATTCGCCGTCGTTCTCGTTACAGCTCAGCGCTTCATGTCAGCAGGGAAAGGAGGACAGTGGGTTAAGACAAGTTGGAACTCATTATTAACGTCATCATTTCATTCCTCTGCTGCTGTTTATGAAATTCTCATGTCCCCAGAGTATTATACTGTTACCAGCAAGGAGGTGAAAATATATTTCAAAGAATAGCCTGGGCATTTAAAACCTGCGCTTTCAGTTCAATTTAATATTATTTATATAGCACTTGGTGAAAAACAAAATCCTTTTCACAGAAACAGACCTCTGGCAGAACTGTTGTGGCAAATTTGGGGGGGGGGGGTATTTTGTAATTCTTTTCACATATTATTTTATTTAAACGTCTACATTAAATTCAGCAAGAGATCTATAGAAACTTTGTGCACTGAGGGGCTTCGTGAGGCGCTGACTGTAAAGCACGACAGTGTGACTGATCCAAATAACTAAACTGTAAAAAAAAGAAGAAAATTGTTTTCTAAGCTCTATTATTGTACACATCTCTTTGTAAATACAATAAAAACGCCTCATTCTGTTTAAATCTGCACAGAAATACAAAGTGACCAAACAGCTGTTTCTTCCAGCTGCAGATCACCTCCTCTCCTCGTGCACCACACCAGTCTATTTGTTTGTGTCTTTCTGTCCTAGGAGGAGGTGCGAGCCTGGATACAGCCATCTCTCTCTCTCTCTCTCTCTCTCTCACACACACACACGCACACACACACACACACACACACACACACACAGTAACAACAACACACATGTATTTGTCCCCAGCCTGAAAAATTCTTGGCAATATTCAAAGTGTTGCTGCATGCATAACAGTTCGCGTTCAATATCAGAACGCTGCAAACGATGAATATGAAGTGAGTGAAAACCAACGGAATAACACTTCACTTAATTAGCCGATACACACCAGGCAGAACAAATGCTGCTTTCTGGCCAAAACATATGCTGTAGCATTTTTTTTTTTTTTTTACAAAAAATAGGAGAAAAGCAGCTTGTAGACGGTTTCCTTTTCCCTGGTCTTCCTGCACAGTTATGGCCGTTTGTAGGAGCTGGCGCAAGGTTAGGGTTAGAGCTGTTCTCATGAGTCTATTCAGGTGAAGCTTTCGTGTTGTGTGTGGCTGCAAACAGAAGAGGGCGCATCGCTTCTTCACTCTCATCACTCAGCTTCACGAGCTTTTTCTTGTTTTTTCTTAAATGCCCACATTGAAAAAGATAAACTAATTCACAGCATTTTATTTATATAAATTACTTTTCCTTCCGTTATCGTCATCATGACGCCCTTTGTGTGTGTGTGTGTGTGTGTGTGTGTGTGTGTGTGTGTGTGTGTGTGTGTGCGTGCGTTTTCTTTTGACTTTTTTTTACATTTAAACGTCAATCACTCTGTGAAATTATGTCAACTTACACATCTTTTTCTACGTCTACGTTTTAAGGAAAGAGAAATCCGAACAAAAAGCGTTCTTGTGTGATCACTCCGAGGCTTTAACACCATGTTAGCTGCAATCGCCTTGTTTTTACGTGAATATGGGAAAAGGATGAGAGTCCAACCACATATTGCTGCCGTTAGCAACTTATTGCGCTCCCTACTCCCTCTTCAAGTGAATAACTCATCAAATCACATTGATCTGGCTGAAATACACCCAGTTTGGCCTGGTCCCAATACAAAAAAACAAAAACGCTCACTCAATGTGTGTATGCCTGTGTGTGCGAGCGAGTGAGAGAGGGGTACAGGGAGGTGGTTTGGGGGATAGGGTGAGGTGGTGTGTGCGTGGGTGAGGAGTTCTGGTGGTGGTGGGGAGGGGGGTGGGGTCTGTAGATGTCTATGGAGCCTGACAAGTGGAAAAGGGCGAAAGCAAAAGCCGGCACATCAAAAAACTTTTCTTTTCACTCCACAAAGTGGACATGGGAGGAAAAAAGGTTTAGCATCCGCACACTGTTGCCACTGAACATTTAGTTGTATTGAGTTGTATGAAAAGTCCAGTCCACATATTTCAGTCCGCATATTGAGGCTGTTTGCCATAAATAAGGTCTAACTTGTTTCTATGCTGCACTTTTCTGCTTTGTAACCTGTGGCTGTTTTTGTCCCGTGGCCCCACACGTGGCCCGCGAGCTTTTTCTTTGTTTATTAGTTCAGGCTTATTCGTGCAGGGTGTTTAGCGTCTACACCACTCACAACCACTAGCACTTTATATAGCCTCTGTAGAAACTATCTACACCCTCACTTATCTTAACTGCACTACTGTATAGCTCTGTGTAAATAATCATTCTGTACATTCAATAATCTTTAATCCTACAACTGTTTACAACTTGCATAGTTCCCATTTCTGTATAGCTGTATATCTGAGATTCTGTAAAGTTATTTATTTCATATTCTGTATAGTTTTTCATATTTATATCCTGTTCATATCCTGTACATAGCTTGTACTCACTACAGCCTGTACATACTTATAGTTATATAATATTCACAACATACTTCATACCGTGTACATTATAACATAATAGACCCATTTCTGTAATATACTCACATATCTATATTATTGCTAATATATATTGTAATATATCTATATCACTAAAGCACTTCTGGATGGATGCAAACTGCATTTCGTTGCCCTGTACCTGTGCATGTGCAATGACAATAAAGTTGAATTCTATTCTATTCTATTCTACACCAACGCGCTGCTGATACTTCAAAACTGAGCCGAAAATGTGCAGACTCACAAAGTGTGTATGATCCAGAAGAGGTTACGGGAAAGTGCGCAAAAAATGTAAAAACGCACAACAAATGGAAAGGTTCACTATTACGCACAATTCGGTGTTAAAATATTACAGAGACACCAGGACGGGTTTAAATCTTCTGATATCTCAGTTTGAAGTTACAGTGAACTGTAAATGGAGATATTAAAGCAACAAAGATGTTGTTTTAAATATCGAATAAGTTGTATGGTAAAGCTCAAACAGCGTCACCACTGAGGACGCCACAGCACAGTAAAAACCTCTAACGGAATGTTACAAAAACATTTTTCATTAATGGAGTCTGTCAGCTTCAGTCAGCTCCCTCCACGCTTCGTGGCTCTTGATCTCCACTTTGGACAAAAGCTCAAAGAACTGTTTCTTAAATTTCTTTAAAGGTCTAAAACGATTCAGGCAAAACTTGGCATTAATTAAATAAAAAGGAACAAACGCAAATTATAACTATATCACGTTTTCAATATAATTTCGATCATTTTTTTCTTTCGCTTGTCGAGATTCATTTTACCTGCATTATAAGCAGCCAGCTCGGCCCCTGGCCCAGGACTTTTCCTCTTCCTCGGCCTTCCTTTCTGCACCGTCCCCACGCTGCTGAAGTAGGATAGTCCGAGCGTGTTGGCCGGGCCCAGGCCTTTGTGCGGCACCACGTCCGCGTGGTTAAAATGTGTCTCATATTCTCCCTGGATGAGAGTCTCAAAGTGCAGCCGACAGTACACCAGACTGTCTTTCATGCCAAAGTGGTCCCCGGTGGTGAGCATCTTGCTGCAGGTAGTGCAGGTGAAGCAGTTGAGGTGGTAGACCAGGTCCCGAGCTCGCATCACCATCTCCGAGGCCGAGATTCCCAGGTGGCACCGAGCGCATCTCTGCACCGAAAATCTTCTGCGGACAACACAGAAACCTCATCAGCGGCTGGATGCGAAAGCTGGTGGGCTGTGCTGGTAAACTATGCAGTGGCACGTGTTTTTATGCAAACAGACCAACTTTGACGCACTTAAAGAAGGTGCAAAAAGTTTCCCTGTGGACGAGTGTGCTAAAACCTCGACAGCAGATAAGGGAGTTTGCTAAATGTGTTTAAAAAAATACCTTTTGTATTTAAAATAGAATCAAAATAGGATTCTATTTTTTTATTTAATTTTCTTGGGCCCAAAGTATTCCTGAGGCTCTCTTTTATTGCAAGGTGGGGGTAGCGGGGGTGGTGGGGGTCACTCTCCCCTAGAGAGATGCTAACCTTAAAACTAACGCTTTCTTTATCTGATTTTCAGGGGAGGGGTTTAGCACAACTGTCAGCATGAATCACAGCTTTTCTTTGGGTCTTAAATGCTCAAAGAGCTTTGACAGGAAAACTCCGAACATCACATTTTCTAAAGAGTTGCAAACAGCTTGTATTCACTGCAGAAAATCCGCTGCAACGCCAGCATCAGTTCTATTTATGTGAAACTAAAAAAAATAATTATTTCATTGACACATTTTAGAATTACTAATGTTTTTAAATCTACCCCCCTCCCCTGCTCAAACCCGGTGCTGCTTTAGATGAAGATAATACAAATATTCACCAATCACATGACCGGGATTAGAGCCCCTGCGCGCTCTCCTACCTGTAGTAGTCCTCTTTGCAGTAGATGCTGCCGTCTTTGCTGAAGCAGGTGAGCTCGGACTCCAGGTTGAGTTTGCACTCGCAGCACTTGAGGCAGCGCATGTGCCACTGCTTGTCCACGGCCAACAGGTAATATCGGTCCGCGATTTTCCTGCCGCAGCCCGCGCACAGAGCCACGCGCTCGTTGGTCATGCATGGCATGGACTGCAGGTCGAAGCCGTCAGGACAAAAACACACGAACAAAAAAAAAAAACAAAGAGAGAGACTCAAAATAAAATCCCGTAAAATCCTTGAAAGCTACAGGACCGCATCTCTACGATATTCTCCTCGAATATCAGCTCACTGCTGAGGGCCACCACTCCCGTGTGGCAAGAACAATAGTCTAAAGATTAAAATATCTATATCTATATATCTATATATACCTATAGATATAGATATATATATCTATATAGATATATATATCTATATAGATATATATAGATATATATCTATATAGATATATATCTATATAGATATATATAGATATATATCTGTCAAATAGATATATAGATATAGATATTTTAATAAAATAATAAAGTATTTTAAAAGCTTCAATAATACAACATATTGAAATTAAAGTAAAATTAAAGTAGCTGCTCTTCTTTTCATCAAAAGACACAAGAAATTAGATATGTTAAAACGAGTATTTTTGTTTCAGTAAAGGAAATAATGAGCTACAATTAGTCTGAAGAGCCTTTACAAAGAGAGCATAAATTACACGGGTAACAGGGGAGGTCAGAGCGTCATTATTCTAATAATCCCGAATACTCAAAAAGCAATGTGCCAAATAAAACGAAGAGCTAAACATACAGTCGTATAATTGCACTTAAAAAGCTCATCGAAGTTCGTTGACATGCTGTGTGTGGGTTTGGAGGATACTGAAGAACATTTGTGGTCATGGGAAGCTGTGTCTGTGCTGTCAGTTTCTATCAGAAAATATAAACCCAGCCATGCTCGTAAAAGCTTTTAATATGAAACAAAGCCTTGTGAGACGAGCATTATTTTTCCAAAGGCCTGTGAATACGGACACATATGCACGCGCCTCTGATTTGCAAACTCTGAATAATAATAATAATAATAATAATAATAATAAGAAGAAGAAGAAGAAGAAGAAGAAGAAGAAGAAGAAGAAGAAGAAGAAACACATTTTAAAAACTTGTTTGATTTTATTACAAATATAATTTATTATTACAAAGTAGTCTAACAATTTGGGATTTTTTTGTGAAAATATAGAAAATAAAAAGAAAGGTTGAAAATATGAATTTAAAAACTTACTAGCTTGTTTGCTGTAATGTAACGTGACAAAGTTGGGGCGTTTTTTGGACAGATTAATAGATATATGAATGTTTAATGTTTGCTTACAAAGCAATAACTATTTATATATTAAAAAACAATTTATAAAAACAAATTGGTGAAGTTTGCAGACGAATGTCGTCTTTTTGAATTATTTCACTGTCTGCTCGTCTCAGGTTTTGTTCTGTCTGCAGCTTTGCTGAGATTAAGTTTTAGGTGAAAGTATGGCAGTAGGAATCAGAAGGTTTAGGCCTGTAACAGCAACTTTGAGAGCAACTTCAATGAAACAAATAAATGAAAGATAATTAGAGACGGGGGGAGAAACATTTTGTGGATACTTTCCCTCCGGTTTGAATTTAAAGTAAAATCAGATTGCTTGGAGCTGGAAGAGTGCAGCCGTTGACACATGTTTCCAGGCTGCCATGCTGCTTGCGCTAAATAGCCAAAGAGGGCCAAAACATGAGTCTCGCCTACCGTCTCTGACTCTCCCATATCGATGGCTGAGCTGATGGCCGCTGACTCGCTCTTTCCTCTCCGGTCCATTTCTTCCACCACACCGCGAACGTCGCCTCCGGGGAGGCCATGGAAAAGCATCGTAGCCGCCGATGGGAGGATGTTATAACTGTTCTCTTCAGATCTGCAAGCCAAGATGTCCATGAGAGGGGGAACCTTCTGCAATTATGCCACTCAAAATTTTCGATCTTTTAACGTTTCCTTTCTTGCCGTGACAAGCGAGAAATCCAGATCAGGGAGGAAAAAATATGAGGGAAAAACTGGACACGTGTTCTCCACACTACGTCTCATCTGCCAATGGAAACCGTCATCCGAATCTCTCCAGCTCTCGTTATTAATAAGCTATGATTAATTCATTAAAAAGCGCACAGATTTGCCTTCTCTTAGTGGCATCTATTTTATCTCAGGCATGATAATATGTTTCACTGCCAACTGCTCTTTCTAGATTTTCTTTTCCATTTACGGTGACTAAACATACCAACTATAGAAGCTCCCGTTGCATGGATCTCAGCTCTGCTCCTCGCCGGGAGTAATATTTCAGGTTTTCGACAGTCTGCAAAATATTTCCTCTTTTCTTCTGCAGAACAGTTCGTAACTCAGTACAAATGGCAGTGCCAAAAGATGAGCAGCAGCTTTCTACTGCATCGCCCAGCCCGAAAAATAGTATTTCAAACAGAAAAAAACTAGACCTGGGTATTTGAGAAAGGCTTTTCCTCCTCCTTAACAGTCCAAGTTGAGACTTACGGCAAACTACTTTTGCTTTGCAGAAAGAAAAAATCATAAAAACAAAAACAAGCTTAAAAAACGAAAATAAAATCCTGGGAGAAGAAGCAGTTTTCCTTTACAGTAGTTTGTTTAGATAATGTTTTGTCTTGTGCCAAGGAGGCTGCATAGATGTGCGTAACAGCAGAAGAGGAGGAGTTGGCTTTACGTTGACTGATGATAGGCGAGTGTTAGCTGGCCCCCAAAACCGCCGTTCCTCCTTCTCAGGTCCGGTTGGACTCTCCGCTCCTTATCAACGGGACCCTGTTGCGTCACGACACACCATTTATGTTCATTGGCTGTTCCGCCGTCACCGAACTGTTTGGCCACTTTCTAAAAACGCAGCAGTTCTCCCTTCGTTACACACGGAACACCGGCCAACCTCACACACACACAACACACACACACACCCTCCTCCTTCTGTCTGTCCGGAGCTGCTGCTTGAAAGGTCAGTTTTAAAGGAAAGAGAGCAGGAGAGAGTTTGAGCTGAGATGTTTGAGCTGTCTGTTTCTGGAGGTCTGCTAGGACCTTTGCTCGTCTGACGCACAGAGAGGGTTCCGCACAGCCTCACAGTGCTGCTGCTCCAGCTAACAGCCTCCTCATGACACCAAAGCGCTCTGCTTAATCTGCAGGGGTGGGTAGAGCGCGTGATGTGCGTGAAACAACCCATAAAGAAGAGCATAGATATTATATTTGGATATTTTGGTCACAATTATTATAACGGAAAGTATATATATATATATAAAAAAAAAATACCCCCCCAAAAAAAAACCCAGGGTAAACACTCTTTCTAGTAACTGTTAATTTAGTTTTTCATATTTTCATAACCCCCCCCCTCTCTCTCCATATATATATATATATATATATATATATATATATATATATATATATATATATTACCTTGGGAAAATGTCACTTTTCTCCAGAGAAACTAAAACCAATCAGTAACAAGGTGAAGCAACTAGTTTAACTTGTGGGGCAAAGAACTTTATGTGATGTGAGGAACTGTTTATTTTATTTTATTTATTTGTTATTTATTTATTTATTTTTTTACTGGGGCTTTATTTCTACATCTTAGTTTCAAAGTGCTGATGCGTAAAATCATTTAGGCAAATCTGGGGGTCATCTCCGTGTTTTGTCATAGGTAAAACGCGGGGATTAAATCCAGAACATATTTACAATAATACTAATAAGAAGAAAAATATGCGATGAACTAAGAGATTTATACCTAAACTTTTTGATGTATGCACTGCATTACTGTAGGCTCTCTGGCACACAGTACAAAGCGTCATGAGGCAACTGCTGTTGTGATTTGGCGCTATTAAAATTGAAAACGCTGCATTTCCTGAAATTCTGTTTGTGACGTGACTTGATATAATTGTAGGCCGGCGGCTTCACTCTTCAAGCATTTCCACCTCTTGGACATGGCGAACAGTGGTGGCTGCTATAGCTGCATGAGTGAGACGCAACTGATCCAGGATCCGCTCGGTCTCTAATTAGCGCTCTGCTCTTAATGAAGCGGGGAGGGAGGGAGGAAGAAGGTTTGAGGGGGTGGGGGTAGCGAGGAGTGGACTTCGTCATCACAGGATGTGTTTGAAACAATTTGAGAGTTACTGTAGTTTGCTTCATATTCCTAATTTCTTCTTTCAGACATACCTGTCCTCTCCCCTCCCGCGCGTAACAGCCGGCGTTTAGGCTATTGTGAAGTTTTATAGCACAAATATGATGTTAAGCTCCTAAATCCTTATGCAAATTACCCCCTCTGTAATACCCCTAATTGAATACATGCATATTTATCATCTGTGTTTTCTATCTGCTATAATGCTGGCTTTATACATTAAACATAGCGGCAGCGGGCATGTCTGCGGGCGTGTATGAAATATGATATTAGCTGGTGGTGTAAGATTAAGGGAAAAATATTAGTTTGTATTTGTATCTGAAGGGGCCGGGCTGGTTTGTTGCTTGGGTTTGATTGGAGCGAGGAAGAAACGCAGAATTTTAGAGATGATTTATGCAAATTTAGGCCGGGGTCCGGACTACAGCAGAATATTCCTAGAAATGTGCTCACAATATTCACACAGCGAAGAGGAAGAAAAATCACAATATGAAAATTAAAAACAGTTCAAATGTGTTAAGGCCGGGCGGTGCTGCTTAAAATAATCCAATATTTAATTCATCGACGGCACGTTTATTTAAAAAGGTAAAACTGAATTAATTACTATTGCCTCGCCCCCGCCCCCCCCCCTCTCTCTCTCCCTCTCTCTCACACACACATATGCTTTGAACAAAGCGTTTAAGTGAGCCTCTCACACTCGCGTTTTATTAGTTCCACAGTGGTTATTAGGCTCAGTGCTCTCTGAACTTGTTGTATTGGCCCGTGCAGTTAAACAATGGCTTTACATATGACGAGTCTGAGATCAGGTCAGGTTTGAATTTTGGTTCAAAAGTACAGTTTTGCTTCGTGCAGAGCATCAAACGTCGCGTCAGGTTCGGTGTTTTTCACCCTGACAGGGAAAAGTTTTGGAGGAAACTCTGTGAGTCGTGTTGCAGAGAGTTGACAAACGTGTGTTCACAAACACTTTTATATGAAGATGGTTCCACGTTTATTTTATTATTATTAATTTTATTTTATTCTTTACCTAGCTTAAGGATGTTACACACACACACACACACACACACACACACACACACACACACACACACACACACACACACACACACAACATTTAACTTATATATACAAGTTCAATGTTATTGAACCCTTTAGGGATGTCGGTTACGGCCTTAATCACCAAATTAACTCAAATAAAGAAACCTGATCTCGTTCTCCAAAATAAATGAAAAACCTGGTGCCGATATATCTAAAAATAAATCTGCAGCAGTCATCACAAAATAAAATGTCATATTTATACTCAGGATGCATATCCTCCTAATTATATCACGTGTTGTTTATTTATTTATTCAAATAGAAATCAGTTTGGGACAAATTAAGGACATTTTCAGTTACTCACCTTCCTTTCATAATGTATAGCAATTGTGAGCTGTTACAGACGGAAGGCAGTTTCATGTATACAGCATAAATAACGCCTCCCTGACGATAGACCGGTGGGGACTGGTGCTGCTGATGGCTTGCCGTTTGATTCTCTTTCCAGCATCTTTTTATCTGCCAGTACAGAAGATGTGAGTCCACAGCCACGGTGTGTGTGTGTGTGTGTGTGTGTGTGTGTGTGTGTGTGTGTGTGTGTGTGTGTGTGTGTGTGTGAGTGATAGAGTTAGGGGGTGGTGTTGCTGCTTGTCGACAACTAAAATGCTGATGCAGCTCCACTGATTACTCCTTGTCCCGTAATGATTTCCAAACGAGGCGGCCATCAATAACACAAATCTGCATTTCTCAGAAAAACATCACCCTCGTCGGGCTGCTGGCATCTTTTTGATCTCTCCCCGTTTTTTAATTGTATTCAGCATAAAGGTAGTGGGGAGGCGTCGGGGTGCGTGGCTTTAATGGGATGCTGCTGTGGAGGTAGGGAGTGGGTTACACTCTCTCCGAGAGCGCGGCTGTAATTAAGAAAGGGAACAAAGCATGGGAGACTAAAAACACATGAAAGAGAGGAAGCAGAAAACCTAATCACTGTACGTGCGTCGTTTGCGCTGACGCCGCCGCGCACACGCACAGGAAGAATCGCACATGAGCGCAAACGAGCACACCTGAGCCTCTCACACATCACCCTCATCTACACACAGTCTGTGAGGGAGTGCTGTTCTTTCTGTGAGCTCTGTACGCTTCAGATTGGATCAGATTGACTCCCATCAAAATAAAAGTCATCTCATACCCTCAGCCAGCTGAGGGCCGCTAAACCTCAGGGGCCACTAAACAAAAACAAAAAAAGAAATGAGTTAACAAATACAAAGTTTCTTTTGATGTATTCTCACCCTCAAATTTCATTTATTTATAGTCCTGTAAAAATACTGTACCAAGCTCCATGTATTAAGGTATTTAGGAATAAGACTGGGAGTAAATAGTTGCACACACTCAAAGACCCTGATGCAGATGGAAGTGGATGTTCTAAACTTCAACGTAGTCAAATCATTTCTAAGTTGGGTGAACTGCTGGGCCCACTATACTCACCAGTTTTGCTGTTGTGAACGGTGCTGCACACCCAAAGAAACACATTTGTGTGGTTTTGCCTGGGTGTGCTCCTATTAATATTTGCAACCTTGTGTGGGTGTTTACAACGGAGTTCATTTTAATGATATACGAGTAAAGAAGCTTACTGATAAGCTTATACTGTACAGAGGGAGACGTTGCAACAGTGTGAAAAGAATGAAAAATTCAGAAAAAACAAACAAACCCCAAAATAAAACAAAAAAAACCCCAACTATGCAATTTCTTTGCTTCCAAATTTGACTTCTGCTCGTTTACCAGCACTGATGAGGAGGGTTTATCTGAGCGGTGACACCTATCATTCAGGAGAATACTGCAGCGAGTAGCTGGTATAAATAGGACAGAGCTGTGGCAATGCCACTGTGTAAGTGCTGTGTGGCTATAGTGGGCCCTGTAGAACCTCCTCTTTCCTGTTATGAAATAGGACCTGAAGCCCCAAAGCTCAGTAGAAATACTGAACTAGTAAAATCTCATAGATAATTCAGTAGATTCAACAAAACAGACAGCTTCCATTATGTTTTTGATTGGGACAATAAAATGTATTTTTTAGCAGTTGGTCGGCTTCTGTTTAATGACACTGGCAGTTTGAGTCCATGCACCAAATAAGCCACATTTCTAACAGCAGCCAGCTGATGGTAGTTTCGCCTGCACCAGCACATGTAGGAAATTGTTTTGGTTTCTGAATTCTTCTTATTTCTCTTTTGGGTTTTTTCACTATCAACACACCACCAGCATAGAAAGAAAAATGACAAAACCTTACAAACCATAGAGTTTTATTCTTTTCAGTTATCACGTGTAATTGATATTAACTTTGCCAAAACTCAAAGTTCAGGTTTGTAAACTCGTTGCCTCAAAAAAACTAAGTAAAGCTAACTTACGATGACTGTTAGGACAACTTATTCATTGCAAGTTTGCAGTATTAAGAATAACTTGATATTTCTGACTGTACAGTACTAATTGTTTACCTACTGACAAACATTTCAACTAAATGAAAAAACTATTTGTGGTAACCTGAATGTGATTAAAAATAATTAACAACACTTT